TCCGGCCGAGTCCGTCTCGTTAGCATTTGGTGGCGCCGTGGCACGCCGCCGAGGCGGAGCCTAGCCGCCGCAGAGTTCACAGAGTGGCCTGAATAATGGACCGAGCGGACACGACTGTTGGCACTTTTGCAGCGCAGCCGCGCGGTCCAGAAATACGGAAAACGGACCAAACTCATCAAGGTAGGAGGAGTCAGTGGCCGATCCAGGGGCATGGATTGCCCTCGCAAACTTACAAAGAAGAATCCATCTTGTGTTTGATTCCAGGCGCCTGACCAACCACTGCGGCCACGACCCTTACACGACACCTCCATCGCTGTAGCGCAACCAGTGCTGGATCCCGAGACGACCTGAGGGGGGCAAAGTGGGCCTTTTTGCCTGCTTACAGTACACTGTAACAGGAGTTAAGTGTGGCTTTTCCCCCATCAGGCCCAAGGGGAGGGGGGCAACTGTCCTTCCCTCCCCCTGGATCCCCCCGTTCGCATTGGGGGCTGCTCCGGCCGCCTGCGCGCGTCCCGACCGCGACGTGCCTGCCGCGCCGTTCCGAAGAGGCGTGTACCGCCGTCGCTCCGTCTCTCTCGCACCCCAGCGGGACGAGCCATGAGTGCGAGAGAGACGGAGCGACGAACGCGACTCTCGGAATCGGCCTGCAGCCGGAGTTGCCGGAGCCGCCCATCCGAGAGGAGCAGCAGCAGCCGGAGTCGGCGTCCCGGAGTCGGCGTCCCGGAGTCGGCGTCCCGGAGTCGGCGTCCCGGAGTCGGCGTCCCGGACCCGGCCCACGGCCCGGCCATGAGGCCCCGCCGACCCCGATCCACCGCGACGCGGCCACGCCCTCCTTCCAGCCGCCCAGCGCGCCCAGGCCCAGCCACCCCTACTCGAGGCATTCCGGGCATTCGTCGAGCGTAATTACGTTCGAGGCGCAGGGCCGGCAGACTGATTCCGAGAGTCGTCTTCGTCGCTCGCTGTCTCTGCGGCACCCGCACGGCGCGCCCCATGAGTGCGAGAGAGACAGAGCGACGAAAGCGACTCTCGGAATCGGCCTATGCTGCTGCGGATGCATGGGTAGCAGCACCGCAGGGCGTCCAGAAGCCAACGAACAGGAACAGAGATGTCACTTCCGTTGCAAACCGTAACCGCCGCCAACAGACCCCCCCCCCCTCTCTCTCTCTCTCTCTCTCTCATCGTCGCCGTTTCTGTCCCGGACAACCCCAGCTGCAGGCACAGAGTCGTACATACTGCAGGCGAGAGAGAGAGAGAGAGAGAGAGAGAGAGAGAGAGAGAGAGAGAGAGAGAGAGGTCCGATTGGGTTGGCTGTCTCTGTCGCACGCCGTCGACCCCGCGGCCTGCTAATGTCATTGACGAGGATGGCCACGCTCACAGCTGCGAGCTGCGGCGTGGGGCTGGGGCCTCCACTGGAAAAAGCGGGAAAGGGGGGCAATGGGGAGCGAAAGGGGACAGGGGGTGAGGGGGAGAGGAGGGAAGGTGGAGTGTAGGGGAAGGGGAGAGGGAGAAGGGGACGGGAGGTGGAGGAGGCAGCAGCGACTGATCGTCATCTTGGGACACCTGGGCCAGGAGGTCCACGAGGAGCATGGCGAGCATGGCGAGCATGGCGAGCAGGGCGTGGAGGGCGTGGTGGACGGCGCGGAGGGCCAATGGAGAGAGAGGACGGCTATGGCCCTTCTGGGAGGGCCGGCCAAGGGCCAAAGGCGCCAAAGGGCTCGGCGGAGAGAGGCGAGGCGTGGACGCCGCGAGGACGCCGCGAGGACATCAGGGGACGCCGAGAGTCGGCCGACGGGAAGGACAACAAAAAGAATAATGACACCAATCGGTCACACTGTTGGCTCGGCCGCTGCGGTTATAGTGTACGGCCAAACCTTTCAGCAACAGGCAGCCCGTTAAGAGAGGCCATGGAGAGGCAAGCCTTTCCATGGCGGTAAGGCAGAGGGCGCGAAGGCAACAGGCAGCCTGTTAGAGATGGCGCATCCCCCTGGTAACCGGCAACCCGTTAAAGAGGGCACCCAGGCAACAGGCAACCCGTTGTTAGAGAGGCCGTGGAGAGCGGTGGAGAGACACACGCGGAGTGTGACTCGTTAGAGAGGGCGCGGATGCCCGTGGAGGGGCACGCGACGGGGGTTTCTCTTCTCCACGACGTGACGTCATGGAGTGACGTCCAGTATGGTTGGGATTCCCAGACAGCTCCTGAAAAATCCACCCCTTTCTCCAGGGCGGGACCTGGAAATCTCAGGCGCCGCTTTCGCCGTAGCCGTGCCTGGCCTAGACGAGCCTAGACGAGCCTTGGCGTGCGTAGTCGTGCGTCGTCGTGCCTACTCGAGACTCCCCGCCCCTCACCCCTTCCCCATGGTCTCTCTTCGACTCTCCAAGTTGATCCTCCGTAATGAGCCCCGCAGTGGCGTAGCCAAGGCGAGGCAGGACAGCCCACCACACTGTCAGAAAAGACAAGTCAAATTTCAGGGAATAGAGTTTATTGGGTGCTCTCGTTGGACCAAATGAGCCAAATTATAGTCCATTGGGTGCTCCTTTACTTTACAGCGCACTGGATGCTGGATCGGAACGCCACGTAACAAAGCAGAGACTGCCCTTTAACGGGGCCCTGAAACAGCGCCTGAATCCCTGAAGAAAGCAACGTGGATGGGCGCGCCTTGCCCCCCCCCCCCCCCCCCCGGCCCCAGCCAAAAAAGGGCCAAGCCGAGAGGGTACGAGGGTAGCTTGCAGGCGCCGGCAGTGCTGCCAGAAGTCCGCCTGCTAACAAGAGAAATCTTTTTTCCCAGCAAGCGACTAATTTTCACTCCACCGTAAAACGAACATTCGTTTCGCGCGTTTTCCCTGTTGGCCCATTTTTTTTTTAAATCTCTTCTTGCTGTCTTGCAGGCAGACTCCCCCCTCCTCCTTTTTCCTCGCGGGTCTCGCGCTGTTTCTCTCGCTCTCACGGGCACCGCGCTGTCTGTCTTGATTAATTAATCGTCTCTGGTTGTCGAGCTTGGCTCGGCAGACTGATTCCGAGAGTCGTTTTCGTCGCTCTGTCTCTGTCGCACTCGCGGGGCGGCCCCGTAGCGGCGCGAGAGGGACAGAGCGACGAAGCGAGTCGGCTACCTACCCTCGGCCTTTCGGTGCCGTTTTCCGCCCCAACGATGTGGCCGAGGCCGAGACTGCAGTCCGAGCGTCGTCCCGTGGGGCGTCCCGTGTGGGTGCGAGAGAGACAGAGCGACGAAAGCGACTCCCGGAATCGGTCTGCTGGCCGAGACTGGCCGTGACGCCGAGCCCCGCGCCACGCCGGCAACGCGCACTGCACTGGAAACGAGGAGCTATAGCTCCGACGTGAACCACAATCATACTTTCAGCGGTGGGAAGCGGGGGCGGGGCCAGGCGGGGCAGTGGCAGTGGGCGCGCGGCGTGCAAACACACGCCACTGGAAAACGCTCACGTGTTCAATGGCAACGCAATGGCAACGTACACCGCGAGCGCCATGCGGGTAGGCAACCCTTCCAACGGCCTTCGGGCTGCCTACCAAGCAGGCTGTCTGTCTCTCTCGCACTCATGGGGCGCTCCCGATGGGTGCGAGAGAGACAGGGAGACCTTCCACTGTGCTGGACGCGTCAACGAGTCGCTGCAGGCTAATTCCGGACAGTCTCTCTCGCACTCATGGGGCGTCCCGTGCTGGTGCGAGAGAGACAGAGCGACGCGTGGAGGCAGTGTGGTGGCTCACTCACCTTCAGCGTCCTGTCCTTGCCGTAGGAGCCGCCGTCCCGGTCGCGGCACTGCGAGTGGATCTGCACGTTGGTCTGCATCTCGCTGAGGACGGCAAAAGAAACGCAGACTTAGTTCCCCACGGAAGCCAAAACGCGGACGGTTTTAATTTTCGACGTGTTTTGTTTTTCACCCCTTGCCGAAAGTGGCTCTTCTTTTGACCGTTAAAAACTACCCCTTACCCCTTCCACATGGCCAAGGGGACGTGGGGGCCGGTGCAGACGGGCGGACTTTCGATGTAGAGGGTCACAAAAAGAGACACATTTGGCTGGCTCGATTACACCAAGATGGATTCCTTTCGGCCAACTCCTCTCACATTTAATGTATAAAGCGTAACGTTACGCCCCCCCCCCGTTTTTTCATGTTTTGCAGTGTGACGCAGGCCAGGGTCCCCCTTCAGTGCGTGACGTCATTGATGATCGTTCACCGTGTTCATCGTGTTCTGCAGAGCGTCTCGTCGCTCTGTCTCTCTCGCACCCGTGAGGCAGCGCCCGGCAGCCGTGAGTGCGAGAGAGACAGAGCGACAACGATGTGTGTGTGGAACGTGTGGAATCAGTCGGCAGGATGAACCTTGTCTGTCTGCGTCTGCGCCACTCGAAGTTGAAGTCACAGGCGTCCGAAACTCCAACGGCAACTTGATCGGTCGTGTGTTGCTTTTACAGTGGGTTTGCTGCTCGCTGCGCGGCGCTGCGCGGCGCTGCGCGGGACGGGACGGGGTTCGCTTAGAGAGCCGCGGCCGGCTGCCGGCTCAGCATCCACCCACACGTCACGAACGCGGACCGGGCGGACACTCGCGAGACTGCACCGAGACGGCACGGTGCATAGCGGAATCGCGAATCTCTCTCACGGCACGGCAGGCGGGTACGAGGCGACAAACTCGTCGGCAAGGCGCACTGCGTCCATGTGACTCGCAGTGGCCTAGCTCGTCGAGGCTCGTCGCCGCGCCGGTCCGGCCTCGCAGTCTCGCAGCGGAAGGCAGGAGGCGTGCGGAGCGACGCTGGAACCCCCCGCCGCCCCCCGCCCCCACTCCCTTGCCCCCTCCCCACCCCGCCGCTATCGCCGCGCCGCTTTCCACCAACAGAAACAGGAAACGAAATCATTTCATTGGCGTCGAAAAAGCAAAGCTGGGTCGTTTCGCGTCTGCAGCTGATTTTCTGAGGAAACGGCCTCTGTTTCCCTGAGCATCGTCGAGTTTGAGGAGTTCAACTGACTTGCCAATCCGCCATACTGGCAAGAAGGACTAGTCTCGCTGCGCGTCCACCGAATACGAATGTGACCAGTGGTCCCTGAAGTTTGGCGTCTTATTGCGGTAAACTTCGTTGTTGGGCGACGGAGACTTCGGCAGCTGGCACCAGCATCGCAATCGCGTGCATGTTTGTTGTTCATCATTGATCAGGTTAGTGGAGGATTTGACTTCGCCTTTGACAAACTTTGAGTTTTAAAAATTATAGTTCTCTCGTGGCGGAAACTGTCTGTTGTCAACGAATGTGCAGTTTCGAAACATTGTGTTGGGGGGAGAAGGTATTTACAGCACGAAGCAGTTACTGTGGGAGTCCGGTTTGCCAAGGCTCATGAACTGAAAAAGTTTTCTTTTACCCAATTCCGTGAAAGTCTCTCTAGCACGGAAAGTTTCTCAGTGTGTCGTATTAACTACCACCACATTCTGGTCTATTCAGTATGCTGTGGTTCTACCCTCATCACATAACACAATTGATAACTGTGCCTTTTCATCCTGTGGTGTTTGCCATCATCGTGCATGTGTTTCAAAATATTCTTAAGCAGGAGGGCGGAAGAATCATGTTTCACCTTAGAAGTTATCCAGTCATGGTCCATGACATATGCTCTCTAACTTTATTTCATCCACTGCTTACAAGTTTCTTTCTTTCTCTCTTTCCTTTACTGTATCTATTATTACAGCTACCCTCTTAACTATCATTACATAAGCAATAATTCTATTAGACTTTTTTCTTCTTTCTACCAGTATTCTGAGTGAGTGAATAAAAAATGGCGATGGACTTTCCGGCATCTTCGGATGTCATGATAATCGGTGGAAATTCCCATCCCGAACTTGCCAACCTAATTGCAAGGTAAACATTCTTGTTTGTATTCTTAAATGTACTTTTTTTAAAAATTCAGCAATCTTTATGTTTACTTATTATCTCCTGCTTCTTTCAGTCGCCTGAATGTAAAAGCTGGGGATGCATCTGTCTACCATAAAACAAACCGAGAGACTATGGTTGAAATTGGTGATTCCGTTCGTGGTAAAGACATCTACATTATCCAGACTGGAACAAAGTAAGAGTCTGAGCCTTTTAGGATCAAGGTTGTTGGTTCAGCTTTGTTGTCATTGAGATAAATTTTGCTTCTGCTTGCTGTAGGGATGTGAACAACAATATAATGGAGCTTCTGATCATGGCATATGCCTGCAAAACATCATCAGCAAGAAGTATTGTTGGAGTTATTCCATACCTACCATATAGTAAGCAATGTACGTATATCATCAGTCAAATGTCTTGCCTCTCCTCTTCATTTAACTTATTTAATTAAGATATGTAATGTGTTCAATATTGAAAATTTATTGTTGTAAACATGATTATTTTTAACTGCTGATCTTTGTGTTTTACAATGTCAGTGTATATTGATCTTCACATCATCTCATCTTCTTTCAATTTTTTTGTTAGGTAAAATGCGCAAACGCGGTTGCATTGTATCTAAGCTTCTTGCGCAGATGATGTGCAAATCAGGCCTCTCCCACGTAATAACAATGGATTTGCATCAAAAAGAAATTCAGGGATTTTTCAACTGCCCTGTTGATAACCTGAGAGCTTCTCCATTTTTGCTGCAGTATATTCAAGAGTGTGTGAGTAATTACCCAGGTTGTCATGGTAATGAAAGTCTTTATCTCCATGTGGTGTCCTAATACTTTGCCCTCTCTTCTAGATCCCTGATTACCGCAATGCAGTTATTGTTGCCCGCAACCCTGGCTCTGCAAAGAAAGCAACTTCTTATGCTGAACGGCTTCGTCTTGGGATAGCTGTCATTCATGGCGAACAGAAAGAATCCGAATCTGATATGGTCGATGGTCGCTATTCCCCTCCAACTTTACCTCGATCTCGTACCATGGATGTGAGTAATGGAGTACCTGTGCATCCAGCAAAAGAAAAGCCACCAATCAATGTAGTTGGTGATGTGGGGGGACGCATCGCTATCATGGTTGTAAGTTATCAGTTATTCATAGTATGCTATTTACATTCACTATTTCATTTTGTGCCAACATTTAAACCATTTTATTTTCAGGATGACATGGTAGATGATGTAGCTTCTTTTGTAGCTGCTGCTGAAGTTTTGAAAGAACGTGGGGCCTACAAAATTTATGTTTTGGCTACTCATGGACTGCTTTCATCAGATGCTCCCCGTCTCATTGAAGATTCTCCCATTGATGAGGTAACTGAAACTTTGAATAAGATTGCCCTGGAACCTACCGGTATCTATTCATTCTGTTCTCTCCCCTGTCTAACACTTTTGCCATTTTCAGGTTGTTGTAACAAATACCATTCCTCACGAGCTCCAAAAGATGCAGTGCCATAAAATTAAAACTGTTGACATCAGTGTAATGTTGTCTGAAGCAATCCGTAGAATTCACAATAAGGAATCCATGTCATACCTTTTTAAGAATGTGACCCTCGAGGACTAACTCAAGTATTGTTTCTGCCATTTATGTGTACGTAGAAGATAGATTACACATTATTCTTATCTTGGCTTTCACCTGATAGAATGAAAGAAAATAATCTCTTTTCACCTGTGGTGTGAGTCATCCATGTATTTTTTTTTTGTTTTTGCTAAGTTACCTTGGTTTTGGGTATTATTGAACTGTATTATCTGCTGAGAATCAGAAATCATACAAGTATTAATTAATGTCTTCTGTTTTTTCATGTTTGTAGAAACCCCTTTGCTTAAGCTTCTGTCATTGGTAGTTGATTTTTTTCTTGTTTCTTTCATAACTTTACTGTTATTCAGCTTCATTCCTTTTAGTTAAGAGGTACTTGGGTTTTCACTTCCAGTCTAAATTTGTGAGTCACTTGTTTTTTGTTAAGTTTAAAGTCAATTTTTCTCTCCCAGTCCATTTTATGAAAATCCCATGCTTGTTTGTTTTCGAAAGTTACCATGTTGGGTTTACTCTATTCAAGTGCCCCTATATTTTTATGACATATCAAAATTTGGGACAAGGTCTGGGGGCCAACCCTGTTTCCTCCCAGTGTCTAACATAACACTCCCCTTCTTCCACATGTTTTGTGAGAATTTCTTCGTTTCTTAGTCAGCAATGTTTTTAGTTCTAAGCCCGAATGCAGTACATGTATTTAGACATACCAAAATGTAGACAAAATAATTTTGTCAGATGTAGTTATGAGCTAGTACTGTGGACTTTTATTATTAATTCAATATTTTACCTGTGATGATTTTCATGGAATCATTGTAATTTTATGAATGTTAATTACATTTGAACAGAAACCTTTCTCTGTTTTGTTTGCACTGTCATACATTAATTTCCTCAATGATTAATTTAGACTGCATCATTTTTAGTGTAGTCCATACCTTTTATCATGAATTGTGCATTGATTTGGTATCAATCAGTAAACTCCGCCACAGTTCACAGTTCTTTCAATTTGAACCAAATAAGTACAAGCAGAACCATTGGACCACTAGACTTATTTTCAGAAAAGTGATCAACATTTTGCACTGCAGGAGAGAAATTGTTTAAAGTTATTACTTATAAAGTCCTCACTGTATTTGTTTCAAAGTTATTTATGGCTAGGTGAAAAATGGACCTAGGGTCTTTCCTCCTTTGGCTTGTGTTGGATAAATTAGTGAAGCACAAGCACTAACTTCTCTCCCTCTTTTTTTTTGTAACCTGGCCATCAAAGTTGTGTGGTAATTGTCCCCATAGATCTCTCTTGAGCCATTATTTTTAAAGCAAAGCCAGTCTTCACTATAAGAGTCAAATAGTGTTTTAAAATAAAATTTTATGGCTGTGGCCTATATAAAGACATGTAATGTTCTGATGTATAATAAAGTTTTACTATAAAATTATAACTTTGGGTATATTCCTTTTCCTCTGTGTGGAAACAGAAAGATTAACATTTTTAAAAAAATTAGTTGACCCCACAATGGGTTGGTCGTTCTCAAGCCTAGAGCAGAGGGTCCTTGCACCACCAGTTTAAGTTTAGGCACATGATCTCTGTGTGTCGTTGGCTCAGGGCGCAGAGGCAGCGGCCGCCTCGAACTGGGACCTGGATTTGCGTCCCAGGGACGTTGACCACTTAAATGCGGTAGCAGTCTAAGTTTGGGCAGACCGGTGTCAGCATAGTCATTTGAGCCAGTTGAGGTCGGTTTCAGCATAAAATAAAATGGATGAGGTGTAAATAAGAAGCAAAGTATTATTGGTACAATTTTAAAAATCATAAGATTAAGTTTATTTAACAATGAAGATTTGTACAGTGCAATCGACCAAAAAGGCTTATAAATAAGACTTGGGTATTTAAAGTGGATAATTAAGCATGACATCTTGACGAGCAAGTTCAAGCAACATAGGATCATCGAAGAATTTGTTAATGGACACGTCTTCACTTAGACCCTTGCGTCTTCTAGTTTTGATCATGAATTCTCGGGCGAGATGAGTAGCTGGCTGAGGTTCCAGAGGACGAATGACGATACTTTTATCCAGGGGATCCCCAGGTACAATCTAGAAACAAGTAAAAAGAATATAGAGAGAAGGTAAAATCACATTTTTAAATTATTTTTTTGCCAATGCTTTAACTACTGTAGATGTTTTTTTTTTTTTTTTTTGTTTTTTTTTTTAATTTTAAATTCTTTGCATACCTGCCAATGATGGAAGACAGACAAGCAGAATGCTTGTCCCTGAGTGTGTGTCCTCAAGTCTGTCTCAAATCCAAATGAATCAATTGCTGGGATGAATGCCTTAATGGTATACAGTGGAGATCCTGGTACAGGTGCATCTTGAGTGACGTGCCCTCTATAAGTGCAAACGTAATATTAGTACAAGTTGAAGTAGATGACAAATGATGTTTGTCCAATGTTTGTTGCATATTTTTTTGCTCTCCCATTTGAACTTACCTTCTCTTGGCCAGAACTGTGTAAACAGCGGACACACAGTCTGCAGGCGCCTGTACCTCCACAAAGAGGTATGGCTCCATAAGACGGGGTGTGGCCATGAGGAACGCAGAATATGCAACTCTACGGGCAGTGGGGATAACCTGACCACCTCCCCTATGCAAAGGCTCATTAGCAATAACTGCATCCAAAATTTTAAATTTGACATTCCTGATAGGCTCTTCACAGAGAGGTCCTTCCCTTGTACCCCATTGGAAACCCTGCAAATCAATAATCAAAGTCAGGACTCTGCCACAGCTAAAATAAGTGCATTTATTGATGAATTGTTTGCATTACCTGCACAATGGAGTCTTTCACCGAATTAAGAAGACTCTTGTCAACTTCAGAGGGCAATGTGTCATCAACAAGAATATTTGGGCCAGTAGTGTCTGGACCAAAGGCCCAAATGGAACGGGCAGCAAGAAGATCCCAGTCATATTTTGTTTGGAAAAATTCACCCAGTCTCTTCCTATTTATTTCACAGAGAGATACCAAATAAGTAGTATTATATTTGAATAAATAAGTACAGGTGCTGGCTGAGATGGACATGTAAAAAGCAGAGTAAATGTAAAATACTTACTTATTCCAAGATATATGTACAACCTCATTTTCAATGTCCTCTGCCAGCCCCTTTTCTAAGGGCTCTGCAATCATAGTTAATTTGTTCCGTTTGTTCGGTGTTTCAGCAAAACATTTAAGGGAAGATGTTTCAACCACCGTTTCACAGAAAGCTACAACTGGATCTGCCACTTTAATATCTGCAAAAGTAATAACAATTGCTTAGCTTCTAAATAAACCAATGAAAGGGAAATTAAATCTAAAGTAATAAGAGTGTATTGTGATTTCAAAACAAATGTTACTGACCAATTTCAGAATACATTTTTCTCAAGTCGTGCATAGCGCAGTCCAGGTACAGTTCACCTGTTCCGAGAACAACATGCTCCCCAGACTCTTCAACTCTGGTCGATAGCAGAGGATAAGATTTGTTCACTTTACGTAGTCCATCTAACATTTTAGGCAATTCTGAGGGGTTGACTGGCTCAACTGAACAAAAAAATTAAAACAGATGTAAGCAGATACCTAATCATCATAAATTAAATGGCACATCAGAATGTGTAGATTCAAAAATGATTCTGGATATAAATTTAAAAGCTTACCTGCAATCTTTATTACTGATTGAGTGTTGAATTTAAGTGGTCTGAAGATAAATAAATCATCAACTGTTGATGTGTCTGTGATGGTGGCTGTTTTGACTATGGGTTGGTCAATTCCTTCAATAAGTACCCAATTGCCAGCTGGTACGCGATTGACTTCAATTTTGTAGCGAGCCTCGTAAATCCAGAGTCTGCCAACATTTAGGATTCTAGAATCCTCTTCGTCTTGGAGACTGTAGTTTTCACCCAGGACCCTAACTTCTTGACCAGCATGAAGTGTACCACTGAGAACCCGACCAAGAACCACAAAGGATGTGCAATCTTCAGTTGGGTACATTTTTGTACTGTGAACCATTAAGCGACCCTGAAAAAATAGAAAATGAAAATTTAATTCATGAAAAGTAAATTGATGGAAAGCAAAGAGGATAATAAAAAATGACTTACTTCAGGATCACATCCACACATATCATCACCAAGATCCGACTCCACTGGACCAGTATAAACATGCTGTACTTTAGTACGAGCATTGTCAGCAGGAGAAGGTATATGTTCCACACACATTTCAACAAAGCCACTGAAGTCCTTCAGAAATCTGCCACAGATCATTCGAAGGAGGGGACGAATATTTATCTTCATTTCGTCACGAGAGAGACGAATACCCAGTTCTTCAAGAGCATCAGCCAAAGTTGAGTCAACATCTCCAACAACCTGTGAGTTGCAATAGAATCATAAGAAATCGCTTGGGCACTAATATTTCCAGTAGGTTACGAAGGATTACCTGGGCAAATAACTTGTACAGCGGTTCCAAAATAAACTCAACAAAGCTGCGTTGAGCTGACCCATGAGGTGATTTCTTAGAGAACTTGCGGGTTTTGCTGTTGAAATACATGTCACCCCAAAGACGTCTGGCAAATTCTTTTACATTTACTTGAGGATAAGTCTGAGCATATATGTTTGCAAAAGATTTTAGGGTAAAACAAACTCCATATTGTGCGCTTGCAAAACAGACATTTCCAAGAATAGGTGACACAAAAATGGGATTTTCTTCCTCTGAATAGAGACCCAAGAGACCATTGACTTCTTCAATAATTTGCCTCAACTTGTAATAGGCATCTTGAGGAGGAAGCTTAAGTTCAAGCATCAAGCGATCAATTTTGTTTATACATAGAGTAATGGCCAGTTTTTCATGAACAGCGTGTTTGATCAGCCGTTCTGTATTAAGCATGACGCCTTCAGCAGCATCAACAAACACAACAACACCATCAGATATTCTCATGGCAGCAGAAACTTCATCAGAGAAATTGACATGTCCAGGTGAATCAAGCACATTGAAAAGATGTGACTTGGATCTAATGTCAGGCAAAACGAGTGTCACAGGCATGGACTTAATGCTGACACCTCGCTCTTGTTCAGTGAAAAGTGTATCAGTATAACGCAGATTTCTTTCTTCATTAGTGACTAGAGCAGGGTGAGTTTGTTGCATCAGGCAGTCAACAAATGTGGTTTTACCATGGTGAAGATGGCCAACCAGGGCAACATTCCGAATTAGAGTAGGTGTGTCCATAAGATCAGCAAGGAACCTGTTTTGGGACATTTAAGATTGAGTGTTAAATTGAAGTATATGATTGACAATGAAAATATTACAGTTTAAGTTAAGGCATCAATGAAGTGTTTCGGAGACTACTCACTCCATGCTGTAGACAGTGTCTGGCAGTTGCTGTTCTTTCACTTGGAATTTGTGCTCCTTCACTGGTGCTATCAGTGGAGTCGTCAGTGCCTGAGTGTCCTCTTCTTGTACTATAGTTTCTACTTCAGGACCAAAGACATCTGCTGCAGATGGATAATACTGCTTGTCCTCATGGAGTACAACAGCCATGGGAGCGACATCCATGTCTGCATCTCCATCGTCATTGGCATCATCCTGGATAGAAATTCAGAGGCAGATCAGAATTAGAAAAAGATTAACAACGATTTATTTAAAAAGAAATTTTACAAATAAAAGTGTTAGAAGGGCAACACTGAGAAAAACCGCGACCAAAATAAATTCTCTACACAAAAACTCACATCGTAATCTTGATCTTGATCAACATCCCGACCGGCATAACTTTCTTCTTCCTCGTCGTCAGACTCAAGCTCCGGCCCGATGTAGTTTCCGAACTCATCATACAAGTCAGCGTCCATTTCTCCGGCTAATTTGTCACAATAAATAGAAAACAGTGGGTTGAGTGTTTAGTGGTGATGCCGGCATGAGAGGTTAGAACTTCAGTTTGCAGAAGCCATAGTGAAGGGGCAGAACAATACAGGTACCTTGAGAATGGATACGCGAGTTGTATCAAGTTCTTTCGTCAAAGTATCCACGAACTTCACTTAGAGCATTCAAAAATAAGGGAAGCAATAACACAACCTCCAGTGGCTGAAAACGAACGCCGAACGCGCGTGTTTTTGTCCTGAGAATAGTAGACGGCGCTGCAGCGCAGCGTGCCTATAACGTTTGACGCTTTATGTGCAGCTGCTATATATTTGCACGGTTTGAGTTTTTGTACAGCGGGTTGCTCGCCTGCTCGCCCCGCAGGCGCTGGTCATTCCACCCATTGAAATCGGAAATTCTGCAGTTGGTGTGAGTATTCAATCCAGAATTTATCTCTGTTCAGTCTTGCACATTGTAGTTTATTCTCGATGTACTGGATGTACTATTCATTGAGTGCAAGATAGTTGTCTTGTTTTATAACTTTTGGCTCTTCCGACGGCCCAGGATTTTAATATTATTCCTTGGGCAAGGTACACCGCTCCAACGAAAAATTTAATTGGTTTTATTTTGTGAAGAGAGACAGAGGTGAAATAAAATGAAAATGAGGGGGAAAACATGGTTTATTACAAAGGAGGAATACAATAAAACAAGAGATCCCTGACCCAATACTCAGCACTACAGTTACTCGAAATAAAAAAAGTTGCACTAGTGCTTTGTTTGTAAGTAGGGCTGTGTATAATAACCAGACAATACAGTCTGGCACGATGCTGAGATGAGCCATTTGATGCAGTCTCATGCCTTGCTTTTCAGTCACACTGTCGGTTTCAGTTCTCGGTAATGTGGCAGTCAGGGAGGTATACACAACATCCTCTTACCTTTCATTTCTATAATATTTCAGTGCTTCAAAAATTTCTTAAAGTATTGAAGAGAGCTAATGAGGATCATTCTTTGAAAATTCAGCCAAAACTAATTGACAAGACAAAAAGAAGGTTTAGTCACAAGAAACGCTTTAAAAAAAAAATCTCTGAAGGGTAAGGTTCATGTTATGCACACCTATTTTTTTACGTATTAGTTGGCAGAGGTTTTTAAAATGCTTCCATCAGACCATTGAAGCAAAATATGTTTGACCAACTGAAACTTAAACATTGTATGCTTCAAAAATTCATTTAGTAAAGTTCTGGGGCAACTGCACTGAAAGAGGTGGTTTTAAATATTATGAAGCTCCACATGTTGGAGACATTTCCCACATTGCCTAATATTTGCACCATCGGTTACCTTTCTTGCTTCTTTTGTCCATAAGTATCTGGTAAACTGTCCATGATGTATAAATTTTTTAAATGATATTTAATACCTTATTTTATGACTACTACATAGTGTATGTATAAATGTTAGAATTATGATCACATGTCGTAGCAAGACTTTGCATTTAGAAAGGGCAAAATGGAAAAATTACAAATGGTATTTTTTTTTCAATGAAACAAATAATTTAAAGCTCAATTAAAATGGCTCAATGCGCGGACCTACACAAAAGAAAACCATAGCACTGTTTTAGAAAACGTATGAAGCCACCAATCCTTCTAACAACTCCAAGACAATAAAGGGAAAGCTAACAGGACAACCGTTAATTCCTTGTATACTATACATACAAATATTTACAACACTTCAATAAATAAAAATAATTGTACCAAAAGAGATAAACAAAATATCTGTAGTGCTTCATTGTGATATTTACAATACATCTCAATCTTCTCAAGTTCTTATTCTCAAAACAGTTAGGAAGATCTGTGAATTTATAGTTTGCAGATATCAGTGAACACTTTGTTTGAGAGTCAACCGGCACAGCACATTAATATTTCGCACCAGGTCAACCAGGAGCTTCTACAATATGAAGTTATATAATGAGTAAAAAACGAGTCAATGTAAAAGAACACACAACATTTCCGCAACAGGGCTCAAGTGTCATTCCCACTCATTTAAATTGTGCCGACTAATGTCATCTATGAACTGCGTATATTTAATAGATTACAAAGTTTGAGTGGAATCTGCTGAGACACTGAGACTCTCGTGAAATTTTAAACAAGAACACATGAAAACTAGTCAAAAGATTCCAGTTTTGTTTTTTTATGGGCTGCTATTATCTAAGAAAGACTCACAAGTGTCGCAATGTCTCAACAAAAAGGACTGAGTTTGCCTGCTGAAGTGTGACAACATATCCGTCCAAAATATATACCATATATATGTATGTATGAATATATATGTATGTACATATATATTTAATCTGTATGTAATATACTTTCAAAATTACAAATATAATGATTTCTACTATAAAGTATTTGAATACCTACATAACAACATTTCTTTGACGCCATTGTGGCAGGTTTGTGGGTTACACTGACTCATCTTATTGTTTTTCATCAGCAAAGGATGTGCAAGTTAGCTATCAGCCAAAATAAATTTTCAGCGAAACATTGTTTCAGTTCAATAGTGCATTTAGCCTCACACTGGAAATCAATCTCACTCAGCTCTGAAAAATAACATTCGTTTTCAAGAAAAACCAATCTGCACGTCCTTGCAATAAAAACCAATAGAGGAACTAATGCCCTCAAGAGTTGTTCAGTTCTGTCAGTGATCCACATCATGTGCGTCATTTTGCTTTCTCATTAAGGTGCATTAACATGATACCCAACAGTGTACTCAGTGAAAAGAGTGAAAAATAATTTAGTTAGCAGAAATTTCTAACAGGCGCTTTATTGTGGTATCAGCCTTGACCTAAAATATTCCGTCGGTGAAGCAATTGCGTTTAAAAGCAGTCTCAAAGTTATGTTCCTACGGTACGCAGCTTTCCAAAAAGCTTCTTTTGGTGTCAGTACACATTGTTTCCTAGTAATCCAAATTAAAACAGACAAAAAAAACATGAAAAAAAATGATTAATTTTGAGAAATTATATTGTTTTTGCATACAGTACTTTTAAACATTTGACATCAAAATTCCAAAAATTTAGTAGACAACATAATTTACTCACAATGCTTCACACACTTTTCAAACTATAGGCCTGGTTGGGCATGCTAAGTCAGCAGTGTGTGTGTAAGTGTGTGTGAATGTGTGTTCGTTTGTACATGCACAGCTCCAGTTATTTTCTACCTTTATGATGAAAACAATCAAAATATTATAAAAACAGGTTTGCCTGCTAGATATTTTAAGGCCCTTAGATTAACCTACCTAATGTAGTCAAATCATAGAAGTCAGGCTAAAGATTAGCATAACACATTCAGACATGGTATCTTTTTGCTCGAGTCTCCACTCATGCTTACATCCATCCACAAATTAGTTTGTAAAGAAAACTTTCATGATTTTTCAACTAGATTTTTATTTTTGTCCTGACCATCACTCCTATCTGTCTGTACGCTATTGTTGAAACATTTTAGGTGGGACCTTTTGATGATGTCGTAAAAACAGAATAGTACACGAATTGAAAGCAAGAGTGAAGAAAGAGAAATAAGATAGACATGCTGACAAATCACATGATACGGCTTCATCCAAACAAGCCCAAGCCTATCTCATTTGCACTCATTCAGTCAAAATGGCAAAAAGGAAGGATAAGATACTCAACCATCATCACAGACAGCTGCTGTTGAACACATTAAAGCTTTTTCAACCTCCGAGACTAACTTTTTTCTCAGAGCTCATCAAATCAATAAGACAGGTAGCAACGAGAAACTCTGCAGAGCACCATCTTAAAAGTGTTAGCACCAGGATAATCGCATTTCTAACTTCCTCAAACCCCTTTGCCATTTCAAGCAGCTCTTCAAACACCATTTCCAGTTTTACACTAAGTCAACAACAACAACAAGCGTCTTTTTACTTCATACATTTTACACCAAGTTCAAACGGCTTAACTTTCATCACAGATTTTTATTTAAATGGTATGATGTGATACACTACTTCAGATATTCACACCAATCTACCGATCATTGCGTCTGTAACTTCAAGTGTGGAAGAGAAAAAATGAGCAAACATAAAGAGGAAAATTATACAATGTGTTTTTTTTTTTTCAAAAATTCAAATTGTACTTATTTATTTAGGTACCAAACAACAACAACAAAGCACCATCTTCACATTTCATCATAAATTAAGGCCTCAGGATTATTCGATGCAGAATTACTTGCACAAACAAGAATGCAACTCATTGAACAAGCAAACAAAACAGAGGTAGTCAAAATGACCAATACAGCCTTGAAACCAAATAAATAAACCAAATAGTAATTAGGAGATGCATCAAGACTCATGACAGTATCCACCTTAGTTGTTTACATGCTGGATGTTCATGTGATTGAGAAGCCATGCATGTTCCTCACTCAGTTTTCTCTCTAAAGTACTGTTTCACTACGCCATATATATATATAAATGTGTGTGTATTTTTTCATATATATATATATATATATATATATACAGTATATATCTCTCTCTAAACTGTTATAACATTAATAATAATATTTGTTATTTATACTTAATAAGGCAATGTTATCCCTTAACCTTAGCAGTTTTCCCCAATAAATTCTTTAACAATTCTACTCAGTGCTCACTTTACACACAGTATGTAGGTACGTATTAATATTCGCACTTGTATCTTTGTACAGTAGTATGTACGTACGTACATAGAGGCATTATTACCAATACATATTTTCCTCTTATCTTACTTTGTACAGGTTGAGACAGAGCATGTGACCAAGCTACACCTGATTTAGTTTCTTAAATGCTTTCTGTAGATCAAATTGGTTCAAAATTTACAGATCCAATTTTTTCCTGCTGATAGGCAGGTAAATGTATGTTGATAATAAGACAATTGACCACCCATTAGGTTTAGAAGAATTTTTATCCCCTAACAAGTTTATTTCACCAATCAGTCGAGTTTGAAGGTGCTGTAAGTTACTGGATTTCAAGTAAATCTTCTTAGCACTTCCTTTGAAGAAATTCTACTTGAGCTCCTATACCTTACAAGTTCTGCACAGACAAATGTCGAAATAAACTATTCTGTAGAAAAAGTTGAATGAATGGTCACAAATCAGGTAAAAAAACGAAAGGAAAACGCACTACCAGGAATTAAATTAACAATAAGTTATCCCTTCATTAGAATTGGTTATGTGGTCTATGCATGTATCCAAAACTACATTGTCATAAAGTAATAGTGGGTTTTCCATGCTCCTTATCAACATGAAGGAACAGAATCCTAAATCATCCTTCCTCTAAAAATTGAGTAAAAGAATCAGTTTCTATCAAAAAAATTGAAATTGATTTACTTAGCATTTTCAGAAAGTAGAAAACAGTTGTAGGCAGTAATAGCTTCTATTTCACTTTCACCTCAATTGTATTTGCCTAATAAATCGATTTTCTTCACTTTGGTCAAAATGAGCTCTATACATCACACACAGTTTCTCCTCTCTAATATTCTTTTAATGTGTTAAACTTCATTAAAATAATCAACAACAACATCAACAACAACAATATAGCCTACTTTGTCTTCTATCCCTGATATATTACCAAGAAGTTTAGCTTTTGCACAGTGAGAAGCAAACAATTGTGAACAACTCTGCACCATGCCCAGTTCAAAGGTAGTTGCTTGAAGATGGTCAAATAGCAGCGGCAGTCCATGATGTGTTCAAGGAGCTCAGATTCAAGTCAACTGGGCATTTACATGGTTTGTTTAAACTCCTTTGTCCATGGGTTTGTTGCATCCAATTGGTTGTCCTCATCTTACGGCAGTCTTCAGAAACGCTCATCAGCGCACCTTACAAAATAAAATCAAAACAAGAAAAAAAGATTAAAAGGCAATTTAAAATTGATAAAACATGAAAGCTCAAAAGGCAGACTCAGGGAGACTATGAAGGAAGTTAAGTGTTGTATTTTCCACATATATATAATTGAAACCAGATTATTTTACAGAGAACCAATAATAATAATAATAATACTTGCAAGAGCTGTCAAGAAAAAGCAATACTAAAAATATTTGATACTGTTTCCTGGTATGCACTTAAATATAGTTCTATAAAAATAAATAAGGTATGGGATCCTCTTGTTGCAGTCTTGTTACGCTTGTTGCTGGCCAGCGCTCACCGTCAGCGTAGCAGCAGAGGGAGCTGAAGCTGATAGCTAGTGCGAGGGTCTGCATCTGTGCATCTGGGCTTCAGCTCCATACACATTAATCAATCGGTATTCAACAAAAGTGCAAAACAAGAGCAGAATTGAGTACAGTCACGGTTAACGGCCTTATATTTGCGAGATAGGTCCCATTGGCTGCCTTGAAATACATTCAAGTTTGTAAGTTTCAAAAAACTACATGAACTATTCAGATGTTGAAATGAACTATCACTTTTGCGTTCATCAATATTTTCTTCTTCTAAAATAGGTCAAAAAGGTCAAAAAGGTCAATTACTGCTCGTGCTTTGAAGAAGAGCATTTGATTGAATGTTAAAGTAGTAGTTCTGTATCAAAGCAGCCACGGCATTAAAGCTCAAAATTGAAAATTGCAGAGTTAAATAAAAACATTTCAAAGTGAAAACACAAAACTTATGCTGCAATTTGTTACTGCTCCTGCTGCCTCTGAACTTATTCTTTCCTCTTTCAATATTTATATGAGGTAATGTATTTTGCATGGCAATCTTGATGAATTTATTCTTTACATTTCACAAAAATAGTAGACAAATTTGTGGTAGAAAGCTTCAAAAGGGGAAAATTAAGTTACAGTTAAAACTAAGTGTAACTCACCGCATGTGGGTACTTTCATCAGCTCAGCTATCCACTGAAAACAGCTCTTTGTGAAGAGCTGGGAACTCCAGATGTGGTGTAGACCGTTTGAACTTAGCTAACGCATCCATATGCAACATGCTCAGATCTCTGTAAAATTCAAAGGAATTTCGTTATTATATTTTTAAGAGAACATTTTAAAAAAGAAACAAGAAACTGAGTTCATAGTGTAGCAACACACCTGAGGACTGGAATTTTAGCAAGCATGGCGTCACAAACAGTAACATCCCCTTTAATGGGTTGAGGGTGTGTGCGATCCATTTCAATTCTTAATGCTCTTTGAACGGCTTGACTGAGTCTTGTTATCTCTGCAAGGCCTTTAAGACCAGGTCGGTCTAAACAAAAAACAGAAGTTGAAGGATGATGGCTAAAAATATAAAATATAAAAAACTGTTCTTAGAAAAACACATACCTGGGGATAGTAGAACAACAGCTGAATATAGTGCCAACTCAGTTTCTGTTAGCTTCATTTCAGCTATTGACCTTGCAAAGTCAAAAACAAGATTCACAAGTCTCATTTCCGCCGTTTCGTTTGTGTAAAAGGCTTCCTGAGGCAGCATGGTTTCAGCGTATAAAACACAGTTCTGGCTTAGATCATAGTACCGGCTCATGCGAAGTATTGCTAACTCAAAGCTCCCTGGGGACAAAAAGAAAAAAAAACATGAGTGAAGTTTGTTTGAAATACTTACAAAAAAGCCTTGTGGTACCAAAAAAAATAATTAAAGAAATTAATTACATACCTGCTTTCAGTAAGACAATTTGATCATCTTGATGAAGTTTCATGAAGCCAGGAACCATTTTTGCAAATTCAATTATTTGTTGAATGACAGTTGTGAGTTTTTGAGCACATTCAAGCCACAACTCCTCATGTGCCTGTTTGGATCAAAGTAGTAAGTCAGTATAATTATTTTGTAACGATACTCCACACAGTTGTCTAAGGCAAATCCTACAACACTCACCATGTCTTTGTAATAAATGAGCTTGGAGAGATCCTGTGGTTTCCGGAACATATCATGTATATGTTCCAATGTGAAAAGGCATGTCCTTGCATGAGCGTCCGCAATTGTCTTGCTCAGGAGTTCAGAGATCTGTGCTGGGTCTGAAAAAAATAGATAAAAATAAATTAATTAAAGAGGAGAAAAGGCAATTAGACCAGCATGTTTGAGGATTTCAATGATGAGAACACTTGTTAGTTTATGACAAAATTACAAGATTTTCAAAAGGGATATAAACAAAACATTTGGAGGTAGGGAAGAGAGAAAATGGAAAGCCAAGCTCCCAATGTCAAAGCATGATGAATGTTAGCAAAAGCAGAAGCAGCTTGTCGCATGGAAATGAAGGAGCACCATGCCAAAGTATTGCAAGGCAATACATACAATACATATATATTATATATACAATACATATATATTATATATATATACATTATATATATACATATACATTATATATATATACATTAGGTTCAGATCTGTCCCCACAGAACTATTTCAAAAAAGGAAAAATTGGTCGACTAGCAAATCAAAAACCCTTTCCTTTACGTAAAATTGGATCACACCCCCGGCTGGGAGGGGAGCGCAAAGGGTCTCTCAATGAATGACACTGAACGAAACAGTAAAAAATGAAAAAAACAACGGAAAAGCAAAGTAGAGATTCAAGAAAATATGTGGCTCTTACTGGGGTGACTGGAGGCCACTTCAGCCTCCCTCATGGGTGAGCAATCCGGCCCCGTCGCGGCGGGTACGGGCGAGGGGTACGTCGTGCTATCCACGTAGCCCGTCCCCGTCACCGAGCCCAGCTCCCCAAGCTCCTCCGGGTCCGGCTTCACGGCCACCAGAGTGCTGCTGTTACTACTGGGCGCGGCGGGTGCCTGCCCCTGGCCCTGGGGGCCGGCCTGCCCCTGGCCCTGCGCGCCGGCGCTGGCACCGGCGGCCTGCACTGCCTGGGGCTGCGTCGCTCCGTGCCGGCTTCTCTGAGCGCTACCGTTGCTACTGCTCGGCTGCGTCTGGTGCTGCTGAGGCTGCCCGCCGGCCTGGCCTGGGCCCTGGCCTGGGTGCGGAAGGTGGTGTTGGTGTTGGGGGAGGTGAGGAGTGTTGGCGAGGGAGGATTGTTTGCCTGCAAGACACAGCACCCCGGCACCACAAGCAAGAGATTAGAGATTATTAGGCAAGGGTTAGTGTGTTCGTCTGCATCCATCCCGTCCGTCGCCACATCCTCCAGCATCCTGGACAGGAAGGAAGCGAGGATAGGACCCACAACGCAAGGGAAGGAGTACATCAAGTCATGTCGGTGCAGTACCCAATCAAAGTACTATGTACAGATTATTCATCATATTATACAAGATGCTGCAGCACCAGAAAACAATGCAGGATGTTGAACGCTCTTTTGACACCAGTCGATGAGAAGGCAAAATTTCCTACAAAGCACCAGTGTTGAAAAGGTTGCCAACCTCAGCCTGTTTAGTACTGGACGACTTCTCGAGAGCAAGGCCCTGATATTGCCTAGTTGGCAGGCTGAGGTGGGCAACCCTTTCAACAACAGTATGCATCGTGGAGGTTTTCGCCAACTTCTCGCCGGGTGCACGCAACCCATCGCACAGCCGCGTGCGCGTCCTCCCCGCACAGAGCGCTCCGACCGCCACCAAAGCAAAATCACGGCAGCTCGACTCCGAACAGTGTCCTCGTCGCTCCGTCTCCCTCGCACTCGTGGGGCGTCGCCAGGCGTCGCCCAGGGGGCCTGCGGGTGCGAGAGAGACAGGGCGGCGAACTTACTGTTCGGGATTGAGCTGCTGTGCAGTGCAGCGCGGCCTGGCAGTGAACCGCTTGCACCGTTCAAAACAAACTGCAGGCTGATTCCGAGAGTCGCTTTCGTCGCTTAGTCTCCTCGCCGTCGCACCTCTTGGGGACGTTCCACGAGTGCGAGAGAGACGGAGCGACGGAAGCACTGTGCGGAACCAGCCTGACGTGGCGCGGTGCCGCGCGCTTGGACTTCCCCGTGCGGACGCCGGGCGAGGTAGGCAACCCGTTCGACCGCCGCCGCCCCGTGCGCGTCCGAAGGGCTGCCTACCTGCCGGCGGACGCGCCGCGGTGCCGTCAGCGCGTGCCCTCGGCACTCCCGCGGCGTGGCTCAGTCGGCAAGAAGACCGGCGCCGGCGCCCAAAATTCTAAACGCGTTTTGATCCCCACAGTCACTAAATGTGACTCGAACAAACGTGTGACCCCACCAATGGCTTCCTCGTTCGGAGAGCAATCCATTGGTGGGGTTCGAGTCCCACTTAGCGACTCTGGAGCTCGAACGCGTCAAGAGTTTTTGCCGCCTCCGCCGGTCTTCTGGCCCATTGTGCGTGGGTTTCACATACAACGGGGTGACGGTTCAACGACAATGCATAGTTTCTATTGACCGCCACGTGCCGTGGTGGCTAGGGTGTCTGGAGCCTTACCGGTGGTCACTGCGGACGGCATGAGCGGCGACTCGGTGGCGGCCGCGTCCACGCTGGGGGTTCCCGGCGTGGGCCTGGGGTCGTAGGCCGTCGTCGAGTCCACGTAGTCCACGTAGTCCGCGCTGATGTCGTACTGCATGGCGGCGTGCGTCGCCACCTGGCCGTACCCGGAGTAGCCGTGGCTGGCGGGGCCGTAGCCGCCCACCTCGCTCGTGTAGCCATAGCTGCGGGAAAGGAAATGCAGTTGTAGGACATGCACAGTGGGCCAGACGGGTGCAGGGGGCGACGGCAGGGCAGGCCGCAGGCGACTCACCTGCCGTACTGCAGTTGGTCGGAGGAAGAGGGCGTCTGCTGGTCGAAGACGGACGAGTCCGGCGCTGTCTCTGACTGCGCGCGCTGCTGCGCCCGGTGGTAGCGCACCTCGTCCTCCACCTTCTCCCGCTGCTTCTTGGACATGCGCCCGAACTTGACGGCTGCAACAGACAGACAGGCATCGTTCAAGACACTTCATCATCATCACCACCTTCATCGTCCACATCGTCATCATCGCCCATATCATCATCATCATCATCATCATCATCATCATCATCATCATCATCATCATCATCATTATCATCATCATCATCATCATCATCATCATCATCATCATCATCATTATCATCATATCATCATATCATCATCATCATCATCATCATCATCATCATCAACATCATCGTCCACATCGTCATCGTCATCATCATCATTAGTGCTGTTAGGCCTCAGCCGGTCTCAGCACACCTTTGGCATTCAAGAAAACTTAAAAAACGGTTCCTGCGGGTTCCTGGTTTTCCCAGGTACCTCCTGTAAATCCTCTGATGTCTGTACCGAAGGGCACCTGGGTTAACCAGGAACCGCGCTTTTGCCGCGTAGGCAACTACAACGAACGAAGGACTCCGACTGCAAATCCCGAATGCAGGCAGAGCCTGACGGCCGACGCGATTCGCATATGTAACGCACAGGCACGAGACTCGACAGTGCGTGTTCCAGTTCTGAAAGCAAGCAGTCATTCGGAATCCTCCAGGCGCCTCCAGGGGTGAAAAGGATACGTCACGAAAGCTCCGCGTTCTCAGACGTAGCAGCGGAGAAAAGGAAAATGGCCGTGTAGGCGCGCGCTGCGCGCAAACCCTTCAACATCGGCGTGCGTTGGGCTGCCTAGATTCTCGGCGCGGGGAGGTGGAGTGGGGGTGGAGGCTATGCAAGCGACTCCGGACGCTTCCCCCCGAGACACATGGAAGGATTGACTGCTCCTGCCGGCCTGCCTAGGCCTGCCCTACGGGCCCTGAGCCTATGCCCTCCTTCGGAGACCGATAGTCGATATTGATTGGCCTGCCGTCTGATTCCGAGCACTGCTTTCGTCGCTCTGTCTCTCTCGCACTCATGGGGCGGTCTGTAGGGGTGCGAGAGAGACAGAGCGACAAAGCAGTGCCGCCGCCACCGGTCTCCTGGCCCACTGTGCGCTGCGCCGCCGGAACGGAAAGGAACGGAACGCGCTGAGAAAAAGCGCAGCGCCGAATTTATGGACGCACGGCCGCCGCATTGTCTGCGACACCAGCAACACGCTCGTGCACGTCCACGTCGACGTCACGCGGTGGTGGGAAAAGGCGCCAGAGGCCGACGCCGACGGCCAGCCTGGTGTCTCTCTCGCACCTGCACGGGACGCCCCGTGCGAGAGAGACACGGCTGCTTCATGGGGCGTTCCCTGTAGGTGCGAGAGAGATCCACTCCCACACTCTTAGGGCGTTCCGGGGCGAGGGAGACCCACACTCTTAGGCGTTCCGTGCAGGTGCGAGAGAGAGAGGCTCGAATCGCTCTACAGCGGCAACACGAGGAGGCGGAGGCTGCAGCTGCAGTGCAGGCTGCCGGTGCGCCGCGCCACGCCGCTCCGCTCCGGACGCACAGTGGACCAGAAGACCGGTGAAGGCGGCCAAAAGTCCCGGAGGCGTTTTGAGCTCCAGGGTCGCTGAACAGGACTCGAGCCGAACGAGTGACCCCACCAATGGATTGCTCTCCGAACGAGGAATCCATTGGTTGGGTCACACGTTGGGTTCCCGTCCTGTACAGAGACTCTGGATCTGAGCTCAAAACGCGTCTCGAGTTTCGGCCGCCCGCGCCGGTCTTCTGGCCCACTGTGGGACGCCCCGGCGGCCCCGGCCCGTACCTGCGCAGCATTTCGGCTTCGGCCGTCCTTTTCCGGGCGTGTACTCGAGTGTGCCGAGAGACCGCTTAGACGGGTGGTGGGGGGAGGGGTGGGGGGGGGGAGGGGTGGGGGGAGGGTGGGGGGGGGGTGGGGGGATGGGTGGGGAGGGCAACGGCTGACCAGAGCACCGCTACGTGCCTGCCGTAGCCTGCCGGGCCCACAGGCCTAACGGTGTCCACCGCCCCCCTCCCATCCTTTCTCCTCCCGGCCCCCTCCCCGGCCCCCTCCCCGGCCCCCTCCCCGGCCCCCTCCCCGGCCCCCTCCCCGGCCCCTCCCGCCCCCTCCCCGGCCATTTCACCGCTCTCCTCGCTGTGCCTTTGTCCGGCCGCTGCGCGCTGCGCGCTGCGCCACGCCGTGTTGCGTTGCGTCTCGTCGCCTCCTCTTCGTGCACCTCGCCGCACCTTGCCGCTCCGCCTCCTCCTTCCTCCCGCGGCTGTCTCTCTCGCACTCACGGCCCGGAACCACCGGAACGCAAGGGTGCGAGAGAGACCGAGCGCCGATCGGCCGCGTGCGCACACTGCAATGCCTGGCGATGCCCATCGCGCCGAGAGGGTCCGCGAGCTGCTCGCCGGATTGTCAAAACGGACAGTTACTCGTCATCGCCACGCCACGGCGCCACGGCGCGCCAGTCAAGGGCGCGCGCGCGGCCCATGTAATTGCGTAACTGAACTTTAGCCATCGCCATTACCAATTACGCCCGCCGGTAATTGGCAGTGTGGCTCCGCCGGCCAACGCGGCCACGCCGCACGGCCTCCAGGGCCTCTGGGACCTTCAGGACGACGCCGCGCCATGCCGGTTTATGATATGCCGAGGCCGCACGGCGCACGGGTCGCGAGGGAGGGACTCACCCCGCCATTCACGCCACCGCAGCGCTCAATTTTTCATACCACTAGACTTGCCGGCAGCGTACTGTAGCTGCTCCCCGAAATCGGTGCACAGTGGGCCAGAAGACCGGTGGAGGTGGCCGAAATTCTAGACGCGTTTTGAGCTCCAGCGTCGCGTAATGCGACTCGAACCGAGCGTGTGACCCCACCAATGGATTCCTCGTTCGGAGAGCAATCCATAGGTGGGGTCACACGTTCGTTTCGAGTCGCACTTAGCGACTCTGGAGCGCAAACGCGTCGAGAGTTTTGGCCGCCTTCACCGGTCTTCTGGCCCACTGTGCGGAGCCGCGCGATGCGTTATCGCGCCGCCAAATTGCACAACAGGCCGCTTTCTTCCGCCGTCTGCCGCCCGGCCGGCCGGCGAGCCAGGGGCGGGGACGCGGAGGCGGGGGAGGAGGTGGGGGTGGGGGAAGGAGAGAAAGGTGGAAGGAGAAATGGGGGAGGGGGCGCGGCGTGCGGCAGGCTCAACTTCCCGAAATAACGGGTCTGGCTGGACCAGCTCACGGCGGCTGGCTGGATCCCGGCCCACGACGCCCCCCCCCCTCTCTCTCTTCCTCACATCACCTTGCGTGGGAATCCAGCCGTGGAGGGCGGCGCGGGGCGGGGCGGGGTGGAGCTTCGTCTGAACCTGGAGGAACACCCTGGAACGCCTCATCGCTTTCGAGCTGTCCGCGCGCGGCGCCCCCCGGCCACCCCACGGCACCCCGCCCTCGCTTTCATCTAGGTGCGAGAGGGGAGGGGAGGGGGCAAAAAGGACGGGTTTGAGGGAGACAGAGTGACGGCAGCGCTGCTCTCTGCTGGAGGATGGCTGCCAATATCGAGGGACAGATAATTGGCGCTAATTTCTCTCTCCGCTTCCCCGTCCCTCACCTCGTCCCGCGGGAAATTGGAAAAGCCACGGGAAATTGGAGCGGCAACGAAAAAGGCGAGGCACGCGCACTGCTGCGGCGGACTCGGAGCGCGTCGGGGCAGCGCAGCAGACTGAGCACTTCTCTCTCTCTCTCTCTCTCTCTCTCTCTCTCTCTCTCTCTCTCTCTCTCTCTCTCTCTCTCTCTCTCTCTCTCTCTCTCTCTCGCACCCTTAGGGGACGCCCCATGAGTGCGAGAGAGGCGGACGGACGAGAGCAGTGTGCTGTCAGTCTGCTGTAAGTACAAAAATGAACGCGCCGGGCGACGGGGCCCCGACGGGGCGCGCAGTAAAAAAGCAGCGCGACATTGGCGAGTCGACGGAAAGGGGGGGGGGGGCAATCAATAGAAGAAGGGTGCAGCTTGTTCCGGGTGCGCTGCGCTAGGGCGTGCCGCGTGCCCCCGTGCCCGTGCCATGCCAGGGCAGGACAACAGCGGCATGCGTTGCTCTGGATCTTTCGCACCCAAAGTCCATGTCTTGTTAGCACCCCCTTCCCCGCACAGTGGGCCAGAAGACCGGTGGAGACGGCCGAAACCCTTAGACGCGTTTCGAGCTCCAGGGTCGCTAATCAAGACCCGAACCAAACGTGTGACCCTACGTAGGGTCAGCGTTCCGTTCGAGTCCCATTCAGCGACTCTGAAGCTCAATGCGCGTCTAGCATTTTGGGCGCCTCCGCCGGTCTTCTGGCCCACTGTGCTTCCACGCCCCGCGAAGACCACATTCACGTGATTCGCTCCCCCAGCCATTCGCATCACACCCAACAATCACTGTTTATTGACACGTAAGGTGTGCCGGTCCACTCCTGGTCCCCGATCCACTCCAGCCACCACTCTGTCTCTACCGCGCCCCGACGGGACGCCCCATGAGTGCGAGAGAGGCAGAGCGACGGAACGGCACTGTTTCGGAATCGCTCGGCAGGGGTGCATCGTGCCTTGCGGTTCCCTCCAGTGCGTTGCCCCCCGGAGAGGTCGTCGTCGACAAGGCGTGTCCAATGCGATCGCTCTGTCACAACTTCATCAGCATGTGCCCCCCCCCCTCCCTCACCCGGACAATGCACCCCCTCCCCCGCCACCATAAAGGGACGCCGCTATATTTGCTGCCTTCCTGGTTTCTTGTTTTTGTTGTTGCTGGCTTTCGGGACGCCGCTGGCCTTCCTGGTTTCTTGTTGTTGTTGCTGGCTTTCTTTCCCTTCCCGCGGAGACGTGTTGTAAAACACGGAGGGGATGGCAGCGAAGGCACACAAAGCGAAGCAAAGCGACGTGTCGTTGTCGAACTGAATGCCAAAGTTCGCCGGGGAAAGGCGGCAAAGGTTTGCAGACATTTTTATAGGGAGAAGGGCGGCGGAGCGAGAATGGCATTCGCAGATATCGCAGCCGTCTTATTGTCACAATGACTTATACTTTCCAGGATGCTTTTTTTCCCTTGGCTTTTTTCCCATCTCGGCGGGAAGATTTCTGATTTACAGAGGTTTTGGGCGCCCGAGTATGGACACAGGATTTCACGAGTGCCACCTCGACAGTAAGGGCGTAGCCGTGACTCTGTACAGTCAGACGCGATTTTTGAAATTTTGTCTCGTAAACGTAAGTTAAATTTAAAATTTCAATTTCAATTTAACTTATCTTATGCATAACTTTTTTTTCATCTTGAACCGTTTACGAAATAAAGACACCCAAAAACTCAGTAAGTGTTAGATTAGGGGACGTCCCTATTTTAGGTCACTTTTTGACCCCCTCCCTCCCTGCGTGCCCTGGATAACCTAACTTTCCCATGCATTTAGTATATAGGGCCTTATGGGGTGGCTTCACGTCACAGAGAACTAAAAAGAAAAACGTAAAAACTCACCATCTCTGCTCATGCCAAGTCGCAGGCACTTTTGGAGTCGGCAGTACTGGCACCGGTTCCGGTTGACCCTGTCCACGGTGCACGCCTTGGCGCGCGGGCACTGGTAGTTGACCACGGAGGATTGCGAGCGGCGGAAGAAGCCCTTGCAGCCCTCACAGGTGATGACGCCATAGTGCACGCCCGACGACTTGTCGCCGCACACCTTGCACGGGATGATCTCTATTTGCGCTGCAACACACAGAAACGACAAGCACGTCAGCACAACTCTCTCTCTCTCTCTCTCTCTCTCTCTCTCTCTCTCTCTCTCTCTCTCTCTCTCTCTCTCTCTCTCTGTCTCCCTCTCTTTCTTTCTGCCTCCACTGAGAATGCAAGAGTCATGATCACATCCTAAAATTTGGGGCAAGGTATTTTTTACCGCCCAGATTCGGGTGACGATCATTTTAACATCCAAATTTGAGTGGATGGGTTCCCTCACCCAAAATTTGGGTGAGAACATGATCATCACCTGTCTCTCCCCACCCCCTATCTCTGTAGTGAACGACAACAACGGCAACCACAAAAACAAAACAACAACAACAAAACAACATTGAGTTCAGCACCGCCGTGCGATACAGTAATACGTTGGAATACCAGAAAGTGTATGTATGTGCACCAAGGGGGCTGCCACTTCTTGCACTCATTGCGTAAACTCATTCTCGCCAAGCCTTCTACACTCAATCCCAATCACTTAGAGTTTAGCTGAAAAACGCCTGTATGCAGGCAATTTGTCCTGACACAGACACATGCCTGTAAGTAGGCAGAAAAAAGCATGGCTGAATCCAATGGAGACACACATGAGTGCACTCACTAAGTTGTACAAAATTTTAGTCAGTGGCAGACCCCTCTGACGCGAAAAACAAACTTTATCTTGGAGGGATTTGAACCTTGGACGCGTGCACCGCGGGACTGAACACCTATGCTGATACCTTCCTCCCCTTTGCGCGAGTCCCAGCGGCCCCAGCCCATGGTCCGGCGGAGGCCGCGTTGTGGACGCCGCGGCGGTTTGGCGTCGTCCGAGTCGAGGCTCGTCGTGTTTTCGTGTTTGTGCTGCAGTATCGCTCTCCTCGACGCTCGGTCGTTTTCGTCGCTCCGCGCCTCTCTCTCTCGCACCCTTACGGGACGCCCCATGAGTGCGAGAGGGACAGAGCGACGAAAGCGACTCTAAGTCTGCTGCCTCGGCCAGCCCTGCGCGCTTAGCACTCGGAGAGCGGCGGCGGGCGCGCATCGCTTCGACCCGTTATGTGTCTGTGTGCGTTACGGGCCCTCCGGAGCCCTTCCCTGCGCTGCTCGTGTGTGTGTGTGTGTGTGTGTGTGTGTGTCTGTCTGTCTGTGTGTGTGTCGTGCGCGCGCGCGCAGCCGCCCCGCTGTGCCCTACCACGAGGGCCCTTCGAGCCCCACGGTCCGTCCGAGTCTGCTAAGCAGGCTCAGCACTCGACACGGCTCAAAGACATTCCACACACACACACACACACACACACACACACACACACACATACACACACACACACACACTAATGAACGCCAAACGCGACACGCGCGAGTAGGCTCGTGCGCGTCCGGCTTCGATGCGCGCCCTGCCTGATGCCTATCTGTCCAGACGGGCTGGACATTCAGGCTGGGGCGCCGGCCTTAGTTCGGCCCGAGGGCCTGACTCCAGAAAACTCCAGGAAACTCCATGAAACTCCAGGAAACCCCAGGAAACTCCAGGAATAACCCCAGGGAACTCCGGGAAATTCCAGGAAACTCCAAGCCACAAAACTTCAAAAAAACTCCAGGAACCCCAAGAGTTTTTCTTTAAAAGATGCTTTTGATCCATTTTAGAAATTCACTCCACTAGACACTAAAAACTCCTGAACTGTTTCTGAAGACAACTGTGTTGTTTCCGTGACACTTTTGGAAAGTAAAAAAGGGCAAGTGCCACCCACCCGCGTTTTCAAAAGTGAACTCGGAATCCGGTTGTGTGTGTGTTTTGTGTGTGTGCTGCATGTGTGCGTACTGTTGCTGTGAGTGTGTGTTTGTGCGTTGTTTGTAGTGTGTGTGTGTGTTGAGAGAGGGGAGGGGGGGTAACGTAACTAGAGAGGGTAGAATCGGAATCCCATTCATTGTGGAGTGATTTCCCCTTCCCCTCCGCTCCCCCGCTCTGCTGACTGATTCTATGTTTCCGCAGTCGTTCTCATCGCTGTCACTCTCTCACTCATGGGGCGTCGGTGCCCGTGAAGACAGAGCAATGAAGACGACTCCCGGAATCAGTCTGCAGCGCACACGACCACCATCCCGGAAGTGGAATACAAGGAAATGCGTAGGCATCATCACCTCAGGATTGACAGGCTTGCGGACCAAATGTCCGGCGTGGCGCCGTGTTCGAAACTTGCCTTCGGATATGGGTGGTACACGGTTAAAGGGAGGGAGGGCAGGAGAGGGAAGGGGAGGGGAAAAAAGGGGGGGGATCAAGCAAGCGCGTGACGGTGTGACGTCGCCTAACAATATTCAGCACGCGTGCCTGGTGTCGCACCAAAAGCACGCGGGCATCAAGTCGTGCCACGCGACAGCACACGCGTGCGTGGGCGGACAAGGGGAAGGGGGAGGGGAGAGGTGAAAGGGGGGGGGGTCTAGGTCAAGTTCTGTAGAGGGACGCGCCGCCCGGGTTCCTGTCGGACGCCTCACGGTCTAGTTGGACGGGCAGGTCATGGCCGTGACGTCATGGTGTCCGAAGGACCTCAGCGCACAGTGGGCCAGAGGACCGCGGTGGACTTGGCCTAAGCCCTAGACATGTTGATGACATGGGCAATGACGTCATGACGTACGGAAATCTCTGCGCGAAGGCTCCTTTGGCATAAGTCTTTAGTACTTTCTTTTCTAACTGGTTCTCTGGCGTGGCTGACAACGCCCGCCGGTGCAGCGTCACGCTGCGCGGTGCAAGTGGTGCAACCGGGCAGGGAGGGTCACAGCGTGTCACGCCGCCACGCCGAAAAGCACCCACCTTTCAGACTGGCCACACTGGTGATCTCGCACTCGGCCGAGTACACCATGTCGACGATGGTCTGCACGTACGCGTCGTACAGCTGGCGGCGCGCGGGGGGCGCCGGGGGCACCGGGGGCTCCGGTCGGGGCGCGGACTCGTCGTCCAGTGGCACAGTCATAAGGGAAAGGGCGCGGGGACGTGCTTGACGTCCACCCCGTGGCGTCCGTGGTCGGCGCCTGTAGGACCCTGGACCCCTCCTGGAGCCGCGGGCCGTCGGCCGTGGCGGTTCGGTGGCGCTAGGCCCGCCCGGCTAGGCCCGCCGCATCGCGGGGACAGCAAGGGGCACCCCGTCACGGCGGCCAAGGCCCCCTCTGCCCTGTCCCGCCGCCCCCCGCGGGCTGCGCGTAATCCAGGTGCCGCGGGCCGGGCGGGGCGGGGCGGGGCGGGGAGAGCGCGGGGTCAGGACGCGCTGGCCATGCTGCACTGATCACTGCACGACGTTCACTGATCACTGCACTGTGGCACTGCACTCGCGGAGCACGGCGCACGCGGCGTGCGGCACGGCCTGCGTTCGGCACGCCGGGGACGACGCGGGGCGATGCGAGACACACTGGTTGCCGGCCCGCCGATCACTGAGGAAGAGCGAGCCTTTGCTCTGCGCTCTGCGCCCAAAGCAACGGGCCAACGGGCCGGGCCATGCCGCCGGGCCCATGCCCGAACCGGCCGCCCCGCGCCGCCCCGCGCCGCCCCGGCCGGCGTACGGGCCCGCCTGGCTCACTAACCCGAGACGACGACCCCCACCCCCTCCCCCACACCCCTCCCCCTCCCCGCAGCAGCCCCCTCCCGAGCAGGTATTACCCACCTTCACGCCGCCACCGCCCTCCCCGGCTTTTAGTTTTACTTGCTCCTTTTTTCTTGAATTCCTTTTCATTTTTTTATTGGAGTCCTTCCTCTCTCATCCCTCACGGCTGTTGCCTCCATTGGATAACGGTCCGGCCGTTTTCGGGTTCGGAGGTTGGGAGGTGCCCAGCGGGCTGGTGCCGCGCTGCTTCTGTCTCTCTCGCACTGCCGGGGCGTGCCGACGGTGCCGACGGCGTGCGAGAGAGACGGAGCGACGGCACGCCGTTCGGAACCGTTCTGCTGGCCGCCCTGGGCACAGTCGGCCTTGTTTTATTTCTCAATGCCGCCGCCTCCTCCTTTCTCCTCCTTTCTCCGTCTCTCTCTCTCCCTCTCTCTCTCCGTGCCGTCGTTCCGTTTCGTTCCTTCTCCTTCCCGTTAGGTCCGTGTGGAGTCCGTGCGTCCCGTCGCGAAGAAAGGGGGGAAGCGGAGGGGACGATTGGAATCAAGATTTGAGCGTTCGGCAGCCGGCTGAGACGAGAGAATGAGAGAGAGAGAGAGAGAGAGAGAGAGAGAGAGAGAGAGAGAGAGAGAGAGAGAGAGAGAGAGAGAGAGAGAGAGAGAGAGAGAGAGAGAGAGAGAGAGAGAGAGAGAACAATGCGTCCGGGCACTGCGCTGCCCTGTGGCCCTGCACTGCAACCTGCCGGTCTTTGTTCAAAGGGTCGAAAGGGCAGCAGACTCATTCCGAGAGTCGTTTTCGTCGCTCTGTCTCTCTCGCACCTACATGGGGCGCCCATAGAGTGCGAGAGAGACAGAGCGACGAATACCGACTCTCGGAATCAGTCTGCAGCGGCGCGGCGCCCTATTCAAGGTCCCTAACAACGTCCTGATGGACCTCGGGGCCCTTCGAGGGGCCCTCCGAGGGGCTCTCCGGACACGCATTGTGGCGTCCCGGCAAATCCCATTCCGATTACGGTGTAGCGGCGCACAGTGGCGCGCTGACCGGCTGGCGCGCATCCCAGATAAGACGAACCCATTTCACGTCGCCACACTGGATAATCTCGGAGTTACGACGCCTCCGAAAAAAAAGGGGGAGCCTGGACAATGTAATAATGCGCGGAGCAAGGGCCGGCCGAGCAGATTCGACACCTGTTGAGTCGGGCAGTGGCTCCTCTCTTGGGGCGTGCTGCGTCGGTGCGAGAGAGACAGGCGTCGTCTCAGGACCCAAAAGGCGCCAAACGGTGAGGCCATGTTACTCTGGAACAAGGACCGCTTGCGCCTGCACTCTCGACTCGTCGATCTGTCTCTCTCGCACCTGTACGAGACGCTCCCATGAGAGCGACAGAGACAGAGCGAAGAAAACGACTATCAGTGTGCTGCAGCACCTGGT